ACGCTTTGATAGGCCCACCAAGTACTCCCAAGCGATAGAAATTTTACTGATGATTTCGAGGGATTTTTACATCACCACCACCAGCACCATGGCTCACATCTCCCTGGTCCTTAATGCGTGCCCAATTCTAAGTGATTTCCATATGTTAACTCCCTTAGTTCTCATGGAGCGGGTTCTAGCACCCACACTGGAGAGGAAGGAACAGGCGCAGGAGAGTGGAGTGACTCCCCCAGGGCTGGGCAGCGGTAACTGGCAAAGCTCCTTTCCTTCCCTGCTGGGCCTCTCTCTAGGCCTCTCGCTCAAAAAGCATCTCACCCCCACCCCAAACCGCCCACAGACCCTTCTCTCCAAACCTCTCCCTGGGAAGCCAGCTGCCCATCAGCCCTCTGTTCCTTTCTCTAGACGCCACCCTCTCATTTCTCGCTGAAAACCACACCAAACCAGTTACCGTCGAGTCGATTTCAACTCATGGCAACCCCGCGTATTATAGAGTAGAACTGTGCTCTATAGGGTTTTCTTGGCTGTAATCTTTACAGAAGCAACCTGCCAAGCCTTTCTCCCACTGCACCACTGTGTGGGTTCAAATCGCCAACCTTTGGGTTAGTACATGCGCATAAACCGATTGTGCCTCCAGGGCCCTTTATTTCTTGCTTCTGCGCTCCTTATTCTTATGCAGGGAATCTGACTATCTGACTCTGCCCAGCTCTTCCAGGCCAGCACTCCCCCCTCCCCCTACCACTTCGGGGACTCAGGAATGGGAAAAACTCCTAGTTAGAAGTTGATTTTGTACCTTAGAAGGGCAAGAGACATAGGGAAGTTATAAAAAAAAGACTTCTTCTGTCACAGCCATTTTTCCCTGTCGATGATGACCTCAAGGCATTTTTAGGCCCCCTGGGAAATCTTTAGGCCCCTTGGAAAATCCAACCACTGCTCTCTCTCTGCCAGCTCTCCTCAAACAGACCTGCAGTGGGAGGCCCTGGATTTCGAAGCAAATGCTTCACTCAAGGTTGTGTTTCAACACCACGCAGCTCTGAGGCTCTGAGGCTCTGAGGCCAGTGGCTTTGAGAAATCCACCAGTGCCAGAGACAACCAAAGCAGATATCACCAGTTGGTCTCCCACATGGGCCACTGGGCAGTGCTCAGTAATATGGCTGTTGACTGACCCCTCACCCTGGCCAGGCACCAAAGGATAGAATCACCCCCTAGGCATCGTCAAGTCCCCATTGCACGGATGGGAAAAGAGAGCATAAGGAGGTCAGTGTCCATCCCGGATCACTTTGTGGGTGGTGATGGGAGTGGGACTAGGGCCCAGGTCTCCTGACTCCCCACCCAGAGGTGTTTCTTACCAACCACATTGTCACTCATGACCTGTGTCATTGACCCTGCTGAGGGTGTGGGAAATTATTGACACAGCCCACTGCCACATCATGAGAGGGGAAGCGAACACCTCATCCCCACCCATGTGTTGCTGCCGGCCTCCAGAGGACACCTTCTCTTCACAGCGCGGAGAATTACAAAGACTGTTCCAGCCACCTGGGTGGGCTGAGCTGACCTGCTGCAGAGACTGGGACCCCCTCCTCTGCCTGAGGTCTGCCACCCACTGTCTCAGCTCCATGCTGGGGTGAATGCTGCTCTCACCTGGGGTTTGGCTGACCAGCTCCGAGCAAGGTGGCCGTGCTCCACCCACCTGGCCAAGTAGTAATGGACTCCTGGGAGGAGAAGTCCCGGGACCTCGTCTGGGTCGTGTGCTTCTTTCAACCATTCCTTTGTATGTTCATTCATTCAACAAACATTTCATGAACGCCTACTGTATGTCAGGCGCTGTGCCTGGCTATGCCATGTAATGATAAATGAGGCATAGTCATTGCCCCTCAAAGAAGGGAAGTTTCATTTTTTAAGCACCTGTTATCTACCAGGTCTGGAGTGAGGCTCTGGCAATACAGAGAGGAAGAACTCAATTCCTCCCTTTGAGGGGCCAACAGTTTCCTATGTCAGAAAGCTGGAGAAATTCCAGAGAGGAGAACTAAAGTGAACAAAATGGTTTATGGAAGAAAGGTTTGCTGTAGAAGTCCTGGTGGCACAATGGTTAGGTGCTCGGCTACTAACTGAAAGGTTGGTGGTTTGAACCCACCCAGCGGCTCTGCACGAGAAAGACCTGGTGATCTGCTGCCATGAAGATGGTAGTCAGAAACCCTATAGGGTAGTTCCACCCTGTCACATGGGGTCCCTGTGAGTCAGAATCGACACGATAGCACCTAACAGCAACAACAACCCAATGTGGCAGGCATCACGCCAAGTACGGTAACTACAATATCACACTTAATCCTTATAATAATCATATGAGGTGGGCACTATCATCCCCATTTCACAGACAAGGAAGCTGAGGCTTAGAAGGTAAGAAACTTGCTTTAGGTCACCCTGCTCTTAAGTGGCAGCACCTGTTTTTTTTTTGTGTCTGTGTGTGTGCGTATGTTCAGTTTGCATACAGTAGAGCCTGGATTTGAACCCTGGCCCCTCCTACCCCACAGCCTGTGCTCTCCAGGCTGGAAAGGCCGTGAAGGGTGGAAGGGGCAGCCTGGACCTCAGCCCCGCACTCTCTCATATGGGCAGGTAGGCCCCCCGCCCCTGCCCCACAGGCTTGGCCCACTCTAGACTCTGGATGTGTCCTGGTCCTGCATGGGGGAGTGAGGAGTCACAGGGTGCTCCCAGTTCAATGTCATACAAGCTGTGCTCTGACCCTGCTTAGCCACGGTGCCCAGCAGCTGGGGTCCGAGCCCCAACACACGCCTCTGGCGCCTGCTGCCAGGCTTCCTGAAGCTGACCACCTGCCACTCGGGCCTGCCACATGCCCGGCCCACCCACCCTGCCAGGACACATGCTCTGTATCCTGGGCTGTCCTCAGACTTTGGGTGACAACAGTCATGCCTGGCCCCACTGGAGCAGTGGTTCTCAACTGGGGGTGATTCTGTCCCTCACAGACAGTTGGCAATGTCTGGAGACATTTTTGGCTGGTACAACTGGCAGGCAGGGGCAGATTATCCAATAAGCAAGATAAGCACGGGCTTAATTTCACATTTTTTCACCACATTAAAGATTCTGCTTCTAGGTATGGCTGGCTTCTGTCTCTCTCCCAACCCCACAGAACCTTCCTTCAGAATCAAAGCCTGACAGGGACGGACGATCACATAAGCAAGGTAAGCATGGGCCTACTTGTGCTTATTTACTAATCTGTGGTGAACAATTTCACATGGGTTTCACCACGCCACATCAAAGTGAAACCTATGTGAAATTGGTCACTACAGATTAGTGAGTAAGCACAAGTAAGCCTGTGTTTACCTTGCTAACTGGATAATCCGCCCCTGGGCAGC